AATAAAAAAAGTGGGTAGGAAGCATTATCTAAACTGATGCTTTCATCTCATATAGAGATATATTAATTCATATTTGTTTAGGAAGAAAAGGCGAATGTTAGTCAAACAATAAAGGAAAATACTTCCACATGATGGCTGCAGGTGACATGACTTTGAGAAATAGATCTAATCACAAAAGGCCAAAAGGTAGAATAAGAAATAACAGAAATGTGAAGACAGGTTAGAAATATGTATAAAAGGTCATTTATCAATTCAAATGATGCAGAAGAACTTTCTACACTTAAACAAGCAAGAAGGGGGAGGATAACATGACTGAATGATAGGTTTGAGCACACAATGTATTAACTTTCTCACTACTCTCTAACGCATCTATGCATACATAAAGGAACTGAAGGTCAAACAGCAAAGTTGGTGGAAAAACTCCAATTCTTATGTTTGGAAAAATGGAATCAAAAACAGGAATATAAACATTCCAAACCCACCAAACAAAAGCACATAACTGGCACAGACAATTTGCAATAGAGAAAGCAAATGTCTCAGAAATTCACAAATGTACTCATCCTCGCCAGTAAGGAAATAATTGCAATGTCAACAATTTTTAGTATACCCTTTTCACCTATTAATTTTTTTAATTGATTGGAATGCCCAGTGTGAAAAAGGACACTGTGAAATGTATGTCTCATGATCCATTGGTCTGGATTTTTCTCATCACTATGGGAACATATTCAAATTATCCCTGGTTTAAAAGAATAAAAGGAATACCCTCACTTGACTTCATATCCCTCATAGCTAATACCCTATATCTCTATTTCCCTTCATTGCAGTGATTCTTGGACTTGTGTTCTACTCTTATTGGGACCATGTTATGCCACCCATCACCACTCTTCCATCAGCACCAGTTAATCTTCAACAATCTCCTCTGCATGGCTGATTTCAATATTTACTTTTCTGTTTAGGATCATAAATAAATCTATTCATTAGTTAAGCAAGCCAACAGCCACAGTCATGTCCCGCTGCTGGGCTAGGTTGGGTTGGCTCTCAGGTGGCTTCAGGTAAATGTTCTCACCCTTCTATTCTCTCTGGCTCTTTCCTGCAGTACCTGCTGGCTTTTCAGACTCACCTGCATAGGATTCTCTATGTGGACATCTGAATTCCTCCGTGGATGGTTGATGATGGAGATTTAAGCTCTGTTCTCAAACAGTACAACAAGAGTCTCCTAGCCAGACTTAGGACTCCAGAAGAAAATCATATGTCCCACTCAGCCCAAGGTTGTACCTGCTGAGGGACAGCAGCAGAAGAGATATTTACAGCTCCCTATCTGCTTCTTAGACATATTTCCCTCCTGTTACTCCAACCACTGGGCACATCATCCCCCATGGGACATTGTCTGCACAGATAGGAATATTTTTCCCGTAGTTCCCTATTCCCAAGAGACCAACTTACGAGTAAGGTGACTCCAGTTATCACTCTTCCCTGAACTCACCTGCCTCCCACAGAGCTAACCTCCTAGCTCCTTATCCCAATCCTGAGTTAAAGGTTTCTCTAAATCTAAGAGTGAAGAGTTTTTCTTTACTAGACTCCTTGAGTCTCACAAATGTTGACTCATGATTGGACATAGCACTGCTATCTCCAGAAGATTGTTATTTCCCCCTTCAACAAGGTGAAGAACTGTATTGCTTTGACATAAAAACATGAGGACTACATGGCTTGGCTTCCATGACACTTTTGCCAAAATGGTTAGGAATTCAATGTTTTAAGATAAATTAAGAACAGTTGTTTTGTCCAATTTATAACAATGAAGTCATAAATGTGTCTTTGTGTGTACACATGTGAGTGAGCTTATTTGAAAGACAAACGTAATTGGGTGATGGACATTAAGGAGGGCACATGATACAATGAGCACTGAGTATTATAGGCAAGCAATAAATTATTGAACTCTACATCTGAAACTAATGAAATACTATATGTTGGCTAATTAAATTTAAATTTAAAAAATGTATGCAAACACACACATATCCAAGACACAACCATTACCCTCAAATGTTTCTTTGAGGTAAAAAAAGGAAGTTCCACCCATTTTATCCATTCCAATGTCCATATGAAGTTATGTATAGTATCCCACATTACCTTCAGAAAGAGAGAAAATGATGCTCAGGTTGCTTACATTTTTAGTAGTTACCTACCAAAGCAGTTAAAACTTATGTGAGAGTCTTAAATCACACACAAATAGAAACTTGCACTACATACTCTTCATTTTGGTGTAGCTCCTTTAATTCACCAAAGTGTACCCTTTACATATACAGGTTATTGTGTATAATTATATTCCAATGACTTATTCAGTGGAAAAAAATCTAATGGTGCATGGCTACGGGTAGGATCTAGAGCACAGGATGATTCTCACTTAAGAGGGGTGAAAGATAGCACTGCTAATGGGAAAGAAAGCCAAGTGTTAATATGGATATACAAACAATGGGATTAAATGTAGGTAATTCACATGACAAACCATTTTTTATCTATAAATAGAAGATTAACCTACATATGGAAATGTAGTTATAAGAGCCCATAAATTGGCTGAGACAGAAGAGAACTACAGCTACATACAACATCAGGGATGAACCATAGAAACACAAGTAGACATTCACACCTGACTCCAGATCCATGAGGACCCAATAAAGATCAGAAACGCTCCCCAGCGTATAATTCCATCTAATTGTAAAGGTATTATGATATCCCGTTTGACAAGGACAGTCTGTTACACAGCAAGAGCTGACTGACACAATAATCAAACAGACATGAGACAGTTAGAATGTGTACTGCTTTTTATTTGTGGCATATAATCAGACAAGTGAGGAGAGCAGTCATGACATTCTGTTATACAAATTTATTTCCAGTGATTTTATGAACAAGTGACTATACGTGGGCTCCCTTCCAGGTCGCTGGGAGAGTTTGAAGGACATACACGTTTGTGCAGAAGAACTGGTGACCCTGAACCACAGGAATAACAGGACATTCAGCTCTCCTGTGAAGCATCCTCTGATCATGCAGGGGAAAGAGATTTCTTTGTTTGTTTTTTGTTTTTAAAGATTTTATTTATTTGACAGAGAGAGAGAGCATAAGCAGACAGAGGGACAGGGAGAAGCAGGCTCCCAGATGAGCAGAGAGACTGACGTGGGGCTCGATCCCAGGACCCTGGGATCACCACTCGAGACAAAGGCAGATGCTCAACAGACTGAGCTGCCCAGGTGTCCTGGGAAAGAGATTTCTGAGCAGGAAGGAGGTACGAAATGGATGATGCAGATATTGTTCATTTGCCATCCCTTAGCATTTGTGACAAATATTAGGAAAAGGGAGTTATTTCATGTAACAATAGAGAGAGTCATATTAGCAGGTAGCATTGGAAGTTTTCAAGTAGAAACAGGAAGATAACTCAGTGGTAAAACATAGAAGACACTAAAGAATCTTTCACTGCAAGGAATAAATAAACCCCCTCAGTTGTGGACACCAATCTTCCATGCTTCCACAAATACATACACAGCATGAAAAAGAAATATTTTAGATAGTAAAAATATGGGTGTTTTGAAATGTTGCACCCTTGTATTTCTAAAAAGCTTTTTTTATTATTTTAATTTCCATGTAATTAACATACAGTGTTATATTAGTTTCAGGTGTACAACACAGTGATTAAGCAAATCTATACATTACTCAGTGCTCAGCATGATAAATGTACTCTTAATCCAGTCACCTGTTTCACCCATCCCCCCACTCACCTCCCCTCTGGCAACTACCACTTTGTTCTCCATATTAAAGAGTGTATTCTTTTGTTGGTCTCTTTTTTTCTTTGTTTTGTTTCTTAAATTTCACATATGAGTAAAGTCATAGGGTATTTGTTTTTCTCTGACTGACTGGTTTCACTTAGCATTATAGTCTCTAGATCCAACCATGTTGTAAATGCTTACACCAAAATAAAAAGCTTTTCCACAGCAAAGGAAACAATCAACAAAACAAAAAGATGACCTCCTGAATGGGTGAAGATATTTGCAAATGACATATCCAATAAGGGGTTAAAATCCTAAATATATAAAGAACTTAAACAACTCAACACCAAAAAAATAATAATAATTCAATTAAAAAATGACCAGAATTCATGAATAGACATTTTGCTAAGGAAGACATACAGATGGCCAACAGACACATGAAAAGATGCTCAACATCACTCATCATCAAGGAATCGCACTCAAAACCACAATGGGATAATACCTCACTCCTGACAGAACGACTAAAATCAAAACCGCAAGGAACTTATTAATAAGTGTTGCTGGGGACGTGGAGTAAGAAAAACCCTTGCACACAGTTTTAGGGAATGCAAACTGGAGCGGCCACTGTGGAAAACAGAACAGAGGTTCCTGAAAAAACTGAAAACAGAAGTACCATATGATCGAGTAATTACACTCCTGGGCATTAACCTAAATAAAATGCATCCTCAGGTTTATGGTCATCTCTGACACTGAAAACATATGAGATCACTCTATTTATTCAAAATAAAGTTATGTGAAGGGCTTAGTGGGAATAAGAAGAATATGACTCATGATTATTCTTTTGGGAAATCTAGGGAAAATTTACATGGCATGATATAGTCATTTTAAATGAAATTATTTTTAAGAAATCCAATTTGCCCCACGTAAGATACAGAAATTTCCAGGCATTTGTGACCAAGGCTGGGGAAAATATTAGGATTGTATGAAAATGGACAACAGGGAAACTGTCCGTATATCAGACAGAGCAGAACATTAGTAAATTGAATTACTTTAATGTATAAAGAAGTGGGATTGAAAGAAATCGAAATTCCATGAAATAAACAGAAGGAGCTGATACTACTTGCACAGCCTGATCAAAGAACAGCAGTTCCTCGCTCTGTTCCTGGCTCACAGCCCTGCAATCACAGACACCTCTTCAGACCTAGGACGATTCACCCTTACATTAGTGGAAACCCAATGATTCTTTTAAGAGCCCTCTTTATGTCTCTGTTCTCTTATGTCTCTGTAGATGAAGGGGTTCAGCATGGGCGTGACCACCGTGTACATCACCAAGGCTATGGCATTTGAGTAGGAGCTCTGGGTAGCAGCAGAGCTAAGGTACGCTTCCAGGACCGTACAATAAAATAAGGAGACAACCGAGAGGTGAGATGCACAGGTGGAAAATGCTTTATACTTGCCCTGAGCTGATGATACTCCACTTATGGAGGAAACTATCTTAGAGTAAGAGTAAAGGATCCCAGCTAGGGAAGCACCACCCAACAATCCAGCTGCAAAATACATCACCGTGTCATTAAGAAAGGTGTCAGAACAGGCAAGTTGGATCACCTGATTAATTTCACAGAAAAAGTGGGAGATTTCCACCTCTCTACAGAAGGACAGCCACAACACCATTAAGCTTTGTATTAGGGAATTCAGGGTACTCACCATCCAAGACACAGAACCAGCAGCGCACAGTAGGTGGGTTTCATCATGATCAGGTAGTGCAAGGAGTGACAGATGGCCACAAAACAGTCATAGACCATTATAGCCAGGAGAAAGTTGTCCAGTCCAATGAAGAGTAGGAAAATGTATATCTGAGTGATACAGCCTTCATAGGTTATGACTTGGCTCTGAGTCTGGATATTCAAAGTATCTTGGGGATTGTGGTAGAGGTGAAACAGGTGTCTGCAAAGGACAGGTTGGAGAGGAAGAAGTACATGGGGGTGTGGAGGTGGGAGTCTGAGCTGACGGCCAGGATGATGAACAGTTTTCCAAACACAGTGATCAGGTACATGGAGAGGAAAAGCCCAAATATGAGGGGCTGCAGTTCTCATTCCATTGAAAATCCCAGAAGAAAAAATTGGGGAAATTTGTATTTCATTTCCTGGTTCCATGTGGTGAAGGTGACTTTCAGGAATGAGAGAAATATCATGACTAATTTTCATACAATCTTGCATCACTCACAGATTTGAAATGGTACATTTTATATTTTGCAGTCCAGAAATTTATTTTAATATTTTGTGTTTGGATATGGTCCCCTGTAGGAGATTCACCAATGTCATCTTTGTTATTCTATTTTTCTTCCAGTACTTTTCCCCCCAATGGATCGTGTATTCCACATGAGAATGAAAATGAGAATCTAATGAGAAATTGCTCTAAATTTCAACAATATTGAGTGCTGACCACATTTTAGGCATTGTCTAGGCAAGGAATATAATAAGGTGGTAAAGAACAAAAGTCCCTCCAATTCAGTGATGGGGCAAATAATAAAATAATAAAATTAATTAGCATTTCAGATGGTGACAAGTGGTTAGAAGGATAGAAGGATAGATTAAATAGGGCATTCTATTTTCATGGGTATTTAGGCCAATTCTGCAAACAAGGTGACACTGGAACAGAGACCTCAGTAAGACAGAGGGCTAGATGTAAGATTTTCAGGGAAGTGTGTGCTTGACAAAGGAATGGCCAGTGCAAATGCCCCGAGGAAGAAGGTACTTATTTCCAATGTTCAAGTCAATGAGGTAAAGCCAGTGCTGCAAGGGAATGAGCAGGATGGAGACTGAGAAGAGAGGCTGTCAGACATGCTGAGCTGGGAAGTGGCCTCTCTGATACCTCTGAACCCTTGAGGCACAGGGACTTCCTTGTCCACACTGCCTCTCCCACTGTATTCATCATGTTGCAAAGGCATCCCATGAATTGAACAAGATCCCCTTCTTAGTGGCCTCTCTTGATTGAGTTCTGACCCCTGTATTGTGTCACCTTGGAATTTATGAGTCCTGGCACCCTGTTGTGGGGGCTGCTCACACTCTATTAGTCACACACACAGGACACCGTGGCCTCCTGGGTTGTGTTATTAGCCTGTGTTTCTCAGCCCCCACCACCTTGATTTTGCTAGGAATGTATCCACCCCAAGTAGGCCATATCACTGATCTTTCCCCTGCAAAATGCAGAAATGCCAATTCTTAAGCCTCTGTGGACAAATAAACCTGGGGCTCCATATTGGGATAGTCATTTTCTGCTGTGTAAGCTCATATGGTCCATGAGATACTCGGAGGAAGAATAATTTTCTTTGATTTTGGCAACTCACCAGCTCTGATGGCCAGCAAAAATAACAAGAGAACAAAATAAAGTCTTCCAAAAGACAAAAATAGTGATATCTTTCTGTTGTCAAATAGAGTGCATATGAGAGAAAATGAGCAAAGGGATCAATTAACATTTCACAAAAGGAGCTATTACAAAATAACAAAGGTGGGCATTTGTAAACTCAAGCATAGAAAACTTGTTTTTCCTCTACTTCCTCCATCATTATTTGACCAATTCATTTTTATGAAGTTTGATAGGGAATGAGATTAGCTCCTTTATCCCTTTCCTTTCTTTCTTTCTTTTTTTTTTTTTAGGTTTTGTTTATTTCTGTAACTTCTACACCCAGTGTAAGGCTTGAACTCACCACCCTAAGATCAAGAGTCATTTGTGCCTCTGACTGAGTCAGCCAGGAGCCCCTCCTTTATCCCTTTTCTTGGGTGACATACTTTCATTGATATTCTTGGTTTTAGGGTATTGATCTCTTTTGACAAACCCAATGGGCACCTCTAATCCTCATTCTGCATTTCATTCTACATTCAAAGTCCTCCCCAGACCATGCTTTATAAATGCCACTGAGGGATACCTGGGTGGCTCAGTGGATTCAGCATCTGCCTTCGGCTCAGGTCATGATCCCAGGGTCCTGGGATCGAGTTCTGCATCTGGCTCCTTGCTCAGTGGGGAGTCTGCTTCTCCCTCTGCCTGCCGCTCCCCCTGCTTGTGCTCTCTCTCTCTCTCTGACAAAAAAAAAAATTAAAAAAAAATTAAAAATAAAAAAAATTTTAAATGCTGCTGATATCATGACAGTCTATCTTTTTATACCTAATAACTTGCTTCATATGATTATGCCTGAGGACATGATGTCATCCACACATTTATATCATTGTACTCTGACCTCACTGTTATGATCTGGGATTCAAAGGTGCAGGGAAGGGGGTGCCTGGGTGGCTCAGTCGTTAAGCGTCTGCCTTCGGCTCAGGTCACGATCCCAGGATCCTGGGATCGGGCTCCCTGCTTGGCAGGAAGCCTGCTTCTCCCTCCCCCATTACCCTTGCTTGTGCTCCCTCTTTCTGTGTCTCTCTCTGTTAAATAAATAAAATATTTTTTAAAAAAAGAAAGGTGCAGGAATTCATCTCCTTTGTTCACTTTTGGTTATTTCCACAAAGATATGTAAATATATGTGCTGAATATGCAAACAAATCTAAGAACATTAGAAGTTATAGAATGAAAAGAATGAAGAGATAATTAAACCAGGTTAAAATGAGTAGTTTCAAGAACATATTTTCCCAGAATTAGGGTGAGGGTGAGGGTGAGGGTATGTCCCTTGTATTCTGCAGTTCAGAGACTTCTCCAGAGAATAAACCCCTGACTGCGGCTGGGGTGAGACCGAAGTTGGCAGATATCCACCAAGCTCGGCAAGGAAGGGATTTGGGACTCTAAATACTTTATATTTATTTTAGAAATAATTTTCAAATAGATATTCAATTGTTACTTCCGTTGCATCTCTACCTTCACACCCATGTTCAGAAATATTACCAATTATTTTTTTAGTTCTTATTTAAATTCCAGTTAGTTAACATATAGTGTTAGATTAATTTCAAGTATACAATATAGTGATTTAATACTTCCATACATTCACCTGGTGTTCATCGCTGCAAGTGGCCTCCTGCATCCCCATCAACTATGTCACCCATCCTCCACCCCCTGTTCTGGTAACCTACAGTGTGTTCTCAGTGTTTAGGCTAGCTCATGATCTCAGGGTCATGAGATCAAGCCCCCTGTCGGGCTGCATGCTCAGCAGAGTCAGCTTGGGATTCTCTCTCCCTCTCCCTCTGCCCCTCCTGGTCATGCTCACGTGCTCTCTCTCTCTCTAAAAATAAGTAGCTAAATCTTCTAAAAAATAGATATCTATCTGGAAGAATATGAAATAGGGTTCTCCCTCAGCATTCTACAAAAAAACCAGAGGGATTATGACCTCAGTGTAAAAGCAACCAATACAATATAGACAAACATCAAGAAAACTACATATAAAATTTACAGGTGGCCAAAATCATCTTAATAAAGGAAGAACAACAGAATAAGAAGACAGAAATATTTTTTTTTAAAGATTTTATTTATTTATTTGACAGAGACAGAGACAGCGAGAGCAGGAACACAAGCAGGGGGAGAGGGAGAAGCAGACTCCCCGCCGAGCAGGGAGCCCGATGCGGGACTCGATCCCAGGACCCTGGGACCATGACCTGAGCCGAAGGCAGTCGCTTAACCAACTGAGCCACCCAGGCGCCCAGAAGACAGAAATATTTTAATTAAATTTAAAAATTTTAGGATCAGGATATGTTCCAAAAGTTAATTGAGAAGCAATGATCTGAAGAAATCATTTGAAATGCCGAAGGGAAAAAAAAAAAAAAAAGCAGGGGAGGGGAGGTAATATATGGCATTGTAATAATAAAGGCCAATCAGCATGGTCATCAAATGTCTGAAGTTTGCTGAAACTGAGGGATAGTTTAAGAAAAAAACAAACATCTCTATCACCAGCAGCCTGGGGAACAAACTTACAGAGCTGTTACATTGTTTGTGGTTGGAATTTTTAAACTGGTGGCCAAGGGGTTACTCTGAATTTGCTGGCAGGAAAGTGTTACAAGGTTGAAGGCAGAACTTGAAGGCAGCTGTGTTCTAAATACTGGCATTCTTTAACTCAGGGTTTCTGTCCTTGCACCATGGACATTCTGGCCACAGCCTGCCTTGGGGTGGGGGGTTTCCTGTGCATTGTAGGGTGTTTAGACATTCCTGGTCTCCACACACCCCTCTCCGGTGTGACAGGCAAAGCTGGCTCCAGACAGTGATCAATGACCCCCCAGGGGACAAAATCACACCCGATTACAACCACACATTGAGTGTAACAATCTCAACATACTTTTTCTAGCATTGCTATAATACCAATTTAATGATATATATATAAAAGACCATCAAAAGTGTGAGTAGCAGGGGTCCAGGATGGCTCACTTGGTTAAGCAGCTGACTCTTGGTTTGGGCTCTGGTCATGATCTCAGGGTTCTGAGATCAGGCTGCATGGTCTCCCCACTCACTATGGAGTCTGCTCGAGATTCTCTCTCCCTTTTCCTCCCCCTGCTCGCCCTTGGAGATTCTCTCTCTCTGTCTGTCTCTCTCTAAAACAAACGAATGAATGAATGAATCCTTAAAAAAATGTGTGAGTAGCAGTCACTCTGTGAAATTAACATTAGCACTGAATAAATTTATTAATTACTTAATCAAGTAAGCATTAAAGCTATAAATTGCTCTGGGTAATATGGACATTTTCACAATATTAATTCTTCCAATCCATGAGTATGGTATTTCTTTCCATTTGTTCATGTCATC